ATGGCGGGGGGCGTGGGATACCGGGGCGGGCAGGAGAGCGACTGGGTGTCTCGTCTAGGAGAGGACCTCGTGGCCTTCAACATGGGAGACGAAAAGGAAGGGGGCAAATGGAAAGAGAGCGCCAAGGACCCGGAGGTGTGTTAAAACAAGGTCGAGGACGGGGCGGCNACCCGGAGGTGTGTTAAAACAAGGTCGAGGACGGGGCGGCTGGTTCATGAGGAAATGGCACAGGCAGGAGGCGGAAGCGTCCGCGAAGCGCCAGCGCGCGAGGGAAGCAGATGTTCGTGATAGTTGCTGCTGTGTGTGTCGACAGAGTGACGTAGAACAAATTGATCGGACAGGTTGCATTACGGGACTGTCTGCGTTGAAGATCGTTGAGCAGCCACACATTATCAGAACAGCAAGGAACCTTCTGTGGGAATGTTCTTCGTGGATGGTGCATTACCCCGAGTGTGTTTCTTGTGGATAGTGCATCAGTCAGAGGATTTATGGTACGCTGTGAGGTACGTTAGCCCCTGTCTGATGAGTCTTTGTGTTCCGATATTATTGTGTTCTGCTTTTGTGCGTTGGTCGAGCGACACGGGTGATGACTGCGGTGCTGCGGTGCTGTGGTGTTCCCCACCCTTACTCACTTCATTTGACCTGTTCTCCTGGTCCAAGGTCTCAACAATAAAACATCTTTCCCCCAGAAGCCACGAGTTTACCAACAACTGCAATTGTCGACCATGTCGGCAGTGAAGTAATCTTCGTCGACGCAGGGTGCTTCAGGGTCGATGCAGGCATATTCGCTAAGGTTTCCGCACTCCTGGTTTGACAGGCAGATTCGCGGCACGACACAACCACGGGAAGAAGTTGGAAGAGATCGAGCAACGAGAGGCACGGAGGGTGATGCATAGCTGAATTGCTGATACCGAACAACCAACAGAGGCCGGGTTTCGCCCACCTGGAAGGCATGATGCCGAAAGGCGAACCGCCGAGAGGTATTCAGCGTGCAACAGAAGGGTGAGTGGTGCATGCCTACATCCAGCTACGGCTGAGGTAAACCTTGTGCTCCACGCAAATCATTTCAATCATTCTGGCATTGGTGTACTTGAGAGAAGCAAGATCGCTTGGGTGCCTGCGTGCGTGTAGAGACAGCCATGAACCGTTCCAAATGCCAAACTACCCCGTTGTTGTCCGACTACCAAGTTTCACTACGCAACGTGATCGTACAAAAACAAAGGCAACAGCAAAACGAGATCACGGTACCCAACACAGCAGAGTAGGCAGGGAGGTCATGAAAAAAAGACACACAGAAACACAGCACAGAGGCCGAAAGCAATAAAGGACATACATATAGGAGTATAGCATACAGCAGGGAAGGAAACAGGGCACAACAGCATCAGCCGGGTACATAGTTCGCCACAAGTGCTGCCCCGGCCGCCCTACTCGCTTATACAGCAGTGCCCGGTCGCCGTTTCTTCCCCCCCACCGCTGCTTCCCCGGCTCTCTTTCTCTTCGGTCCTGAGATGGCCGTACTCTCTGCTTCTGCTGTTGGTAAACTCGTGGCTTCTGGGGAAAAGATGTTTTATTGTTGAGACCTTGGACCAGGAGAACAGGTCAAAAGGTGAAGTGACCAACGGTGGGGAGCACCACAGCACCGCAGCACCGCAGTCATCACCCGTGTCGCTCGACCAACGCACAAAAGCACAACACAATAATATCGGAACACAAAGACTCAACAGACAGGGGCTAACGTACTTCACAGCGTACCATAAATCCTCTGACTGCTGCACTGTCCACAAGAAACACACTCGGGGTAATGCACCATCCACGAAGAACATTCCCACAGAAGGTTCCTTGCTGTTCTGATAATATGTGGCTGCTCAACGATCTTCAACGCAGACAGTCCCGTAATGCACCTGTCCGATCAAGTTGTTCTACGTCACTCTGTCGACACACACAGCAGCAACTATCACGAACACCCTCCCTTGGGGCTGTTGTCTCGACCAGATCAAATATATATCAGAATAACAACAACCAAAATAAAACACAACTCAGGTCTCTAGACTACTTGTCAGAAATCAAACCTAGAGGCGTGTTGGTCTACGTACCTTGCAGGTGCACTCGCAGCAGTCGCCGCCATCGTACGCTGTGGAGAAGAAGGCAATCGAGAGAGCAGGAGGGTCGCATGCGCGAGTCGAGGGCGGGGATCGCGCTCGGAGTACACCGCCCACGACATCGGCCGGTAAAGGCTGGGTCTTCGCGCATCGTCGGAACTGGGGGCGCTCACATGTCTGCCAAGATTCTGACGAGGAGCGTCGTTACCGACGAAACCCTCAAGGCGTATCTACCGGTCCACACACTATCTTCGGCGGTTAACCACGGTGGTGCAACGCGTGATGGAAGAACGAGGAGCCAAGAAGGGGGAACGAGGACTTCGGTTGCATCGGGCAGTTTGCCTGCGTCGACCCGGACGCTGCTTGTGTGGACGACGACAGCGTCACCGTGGACATCCTCGAAAACTGCGCAATTGCTGCAAATATCAGCGATGGGTACTGCAGTGAGGATCTCAACACGGAAGAATGCGGTAAGTTTTTCCCCAGAGAGAGTCTTACCTCTCCAGCGATTATCGCGAAAAGTCTCCCGGAGGTGGCCACGGGGGAGGTGCTTTCAAGGCAAAGTTCGTGGGGATAGGGAGACACCTGAACACCAATAACAGCACTCAAATTTGCTCTCCGACATGCCGGTCGCAAGCTCGCCATTGAATGCCCATCCTAAGCTTCCAAGGTATGATGCAGGGCGTGCAACTACGTTTGGTTACTGTCGTTGCAACAGGCCCCTCTACTGATTCCGCTTGGACAAACACTCAGTCGGTCGTCCCGAAATTTTGCCCCGTACGTCGAAAACGCCCGTACTTGGTTCCACTGGTTTGCAACCTGCTGCATCTTGGCTGTCACCTCTTTTTTGCTTTCACCCACGCACACTCGCCGTAAGGTGAGGGCTCGAGCGTAATGCGGTCTTAACTCTGCCCGAGGTCCCCTTAGGACCGTCGCCGGCATTTTTTATTCTTCGTCAAGTTTCGATCTTTTGGCTTGTCGCCCTTAGGCCCATGTTTATGGTCACCAAATCTTTGAAAATATCTTCAAATGTTTCCGAACATCTGCGTGCGAATATTTGTCAGAGGAAGATTTGAGTACCGCTGTTATGGGAACGAGCAAAAAAACTTCGGCGGGACTGTGAGTTTCGGAGGCGTTTTGGTTCTTTTTCATACAGCACGCGGCACGGGGCCCCCTTCTCTCACGAGCAGCACGCGCACACCAGCTGGCGCAAACAGTTATCACTTTCCACGCCCACACGCATGCACACGCCAGACACACGCTACACCACACACACGCCAAGCACATACCCCGGAGGTCTCCGAGTTCGACACAGCAGCATTCCGCAAATGACGATGGCAGTCGATTTCTCGAAGTCACAGAAGGCGCCCATGCTTCTCATCGATCTCTCGGAGGACTTCATGTTCGCCTTACGGACGTTCTGCGGCACCTACGGCAACGAGACAATGACCCAGCCTGCCCTCAAGATGCTTCAGCCGATACCACTCGTCCACTCTGCCCTAGCAGTCAAGGAGGCAGACAAGATGTCTGCAGCACAGTGAAACCTGGCAGCGTCCAAGTGCATGCAAGAGATCACGGTTAGTGGTTTCATCAAGCTCNGAGGCAGACAAGATGTCTGCAGCACAGTGAAACCTGGCAGCGTCAAAGTGCATGCAAGAGATCGCGGTTCGTGGTTTCATCAAGCTCATCGAGTACGCCCTGAGCACCATGGACGGGCCGCTGCAGATGCCTCACAAGTGAAAGGACATGGTGTACTACACGACCCTTGGTTCAGGTGTGTATCTAATGTGGCTACATCAATTCGTGACACGTACCGAAGACTTATGTTGTGTTGTGCTGGTCGTGTGATGGCACGCCCGACCATCATGTGGATTGTAGCAAATAGTTGCAACGGCTTTTTTATTTTGAATTTGATGCAGACGTATGCATACTCACGAACACAGCAGTAGAGTAGGCATGCCATGCGAGTGAAAGGACGCACTTGCGGGCCTTTTCTGTCCACCGAATGAGAAATACAGGTGCTGTGGGAGAGGTCGATTGGACCGGAGCTGGCATCTTGGCATGTACGACGCACATATATTATCTGAAGAGGAGTGTAGATAATTTTGATCAAGCGGTTGCAGGTGCACCACGTGTGGTGTTCGTGAGTGGCAGTACCAGCGATCCACCTGCCACCTGCTATGTTGAGGATTATGGATAGTTCTAGGCACCTTTTGCAACACGGGTTGGAGTCAGGGTTCGTTTTGCTGGCAACAGCAGTGGTGGTATTCGCGAAAGTTTTGTTGGCAACAGCAGGAGTATTCGCGAAACCATTCACCTCCCTCCAACGGTGTCTCCATGCATGCATGTGGTTTATGGTTTGCGGCCGATGCGTGTGAGATGTCTGGGCGCTACTCTCTGAAAAAGGGGAAGTCTAAGCCATGAGTTTCTGGGACGTCTGTGATTTTTTTGTGGGTGGAGACGCAGACAGACACACACCGACACCACCCGCAGCAGCAGCAGCAGCAGCGGAAACAGCACTATTACTCGACAACACCTCTGCTTGTATAGACATTCCAGCCCCGAACGAATTCGCTGCCATGCCTGAATCAGAGGCAAGAGGGCACACGTTGACGACACGTTCACCACGAGACAAGGTGCTGCTCCGCCTCCAAAAATGCACACAAATAGCGGACTTCCTCTTGCTCCCACACGCGCTGTTGCCATTTGAAATGTATCGCAGGCACCTCCGAGGCGAAGACCTTCATGGAGAAACCGTCGACCGTCCTAACCAAGCTCAGGAGCTACAAGGCCGAGTACACGAAAGTGTGGCTCTGGCTTGACACGTAAGTTTTGCGGGCAAGTCGGATTCTCAGCGCAGCGTATTTCCCTCTCTCGTGGCGTCGCACACTCCGAAAACCGGGAGACGAAAGCAATGCAACCCTAATTTCGTGTGTGGAAAACAAAATCGACGGTGCTTGACGTGAGGATCTTGGTAAAATCACGAGGGTTCTACATGCCTGTGTTGGTCAAGCATGTGTGTGCGTGCGTGTGTTTGTCGTTAAGTAGTCTACACAAAACGGGAGGATGAAGACACACACACACTTTCATTGGTCAGCCGGTTAGCGCGGTCGATGCCAAAAATTAAAATACAAACACACACATAGCGACAGAGACATGGACAAGGGAGGAGGGAGACACACCACCGGGAGAGCGAGACGGGAGGGTGTGCCCGGTATNCAGCCGGTTAGCGCGGTCGATGCCAAAAATTAAAATACAAACACACACATGGCGACAGACATGGACAAGGGAGGAGGGAGACACACCACCGGGAGAGCGAGACGGGAGGGTGTGCCCGGTATTACTGCTGTTGGCTATCGGTGGAGTAAGCGAGAGAAGAGAGAAGCGTTTGGTTGTTGTGCGTCGTTCTTGTTGCGCGCTTTTTGCCAGCAGCGTTTTTTTTTTCGCAGGAATCAGCGAGAGAGGCCCTTCTTGGAGGAGAGAGCCACACCAACACGCTACTAGACGCCACCATTGATTGTGCATGCACTGCTGTGCACCTCTTTTACTTTTGTGCGAGGGCCTTCTGCTGTGGAGTGTCATCTGTGCCTTCCCTGCTAGTCTGGTCACCTATCAAACGCGTGCCTTTGAGTTGCCAATTCAAAAACAGGAAAGAAACGTTTAGATAATGGGCACATATTGTTTTTCTGCTAGATGATTGCCACCCCCCCCAGGATTCGAAACGCACCAGCGTACTGCAGGTATATAGCTTGTACTTCCCACCCTCTAGTTTTGCCCTGCGCAAAATGAATGACATGACGTAGTTGGGCGTGCCTCGTCGTAAACAAAAAATCACGAAGCCGGGACAGCGGCAACACTAAAGGTTGAAATATTGTTGCTACGCGTGGTGGAAAACACTGCTGTGATATAACTACGTAACCGCACGCCGCGAATCCGTTTTGTTCCCTGTGCGTTTTTTTTTTTGTGTCAGGAACGACAAGAACACATCGTCTGAGCTGCCGTCTGGGACCAACACTCAGGACTCCCTAGAGGAGCTCAACGACGCCATGTGGTTCGAGTCGGACATGTACAAGCGGGACAAGGCTAGATCGGACAAGGCAGACGCTGAGGTTGCGGCTTTCTTCTCTCGGGGGGCGGCGGGGAGCGTCGACCCCGCCGGCTCCCCAGCCGGCTCCCCCGCTACCGGGGCAGGCACCGGGGAGAGCGTTGACAGAGCAGGGAGTCCACCTGCAGGTCAGGGACCGGCGGCGCAAGCGGCGTTGGCTGAGACGGAGGTCCGCCAGGAACCGGTAAGTACGCCGATGTCGTTGGCCGCCGCCGCCGCCGCCGCCGCCGCCAACATTNTGAGATTGAGGTCCGCCAGGAACAGGGAAGTACGCCGATATCGTTGGCCGCCGCCGCCGCCGCCAACATCCGCCGGGAACAGGAGCGAGAGCAGGATAAGGGCGGGGACGAGGGCGAGCACGAGGGCGAGGAGGTGCCTGAGTGGTGGGTCTTCCCCTTCCTGCTTCTCACAGCGGCGTACAGCCCGTGGAGTGGTCAGGCCCCGTCGGAGTGGAAGCACCTCGACTCTTCGGACGGGCCGTCTATAAAGCGGAAGGGCGGGGACGTCACCGTGGACTCTGACAACCCCGTGAGCAGCCCC